GCATTGTCGTGGTCTATCTATCGTAGACGACCTGTGCCTGGCCCTCAGGCCCTGCTCCGGCGCGTCGAGATCAGCTTCGTCGCCACGCGATTCCTCGGCGCCGGCAAGAAGATCTGGGTATGTCATGTGGAGTCGCACAGATGGCCTCCCTCTCCTGATGCCATCTCGATGCCAGGGGGGAGGGGGCGCCGCAGCCGCTGATGGTTGGGTGGGTGTACTCGGCAGGTCAACTGGGAGTGGGTGGGATCGCTCCACGGCGATAGCTCCGCCTTCCCGCTCGGGTCCAACGAGCGGTGGACCACGGCGACTGCCCGGGCACTGCAGCCCGGCGCTGCCGCGTCATCGTCTTCGGGCAGTCATGCTCCTCCTCCGTACCACCCGCTGCGCATGGAGGCCGGCACGCCCGAGGAGGGCGGACTCCTTAGCCCACACTCCGCCACCGCTGCACGCGCCGCGACGGCGTCCTCGCCCTATCTCCAGTCTCCGTCGTCGACAGCTTCCTTCGCCGACGTGAGCACGGCCTCCGCGTTCATCCCCGAGACAGTAACGACCACCACCACCACTTCCGGCGCGCCAGTGATGCTGCACAGCGGGAGCTACATTCCGGCGACCAACGAGCCAGCATTGCTGCTCGCGTCTTCGTCGTCGTTGGCGTCGGGCGCGCCCCTCAGCTACGGCCACACCGGCCCTGTGGCGTTCCTGCCCGCTTCCACCCCGGTGGCGATGGCCAAGCCGGGTGGCATCCCTCTCGCCGCCCTCGCTTCATCGCAGTCGGCGGTGGAGCTGGAGCATCAACCCGCCCTCAAGGAGAAGCGCTCGCTGGGCAAGAAACTCACGCGCCGCTTCCACAAGCTCACCCACCATCATCACCACGAAGACCCTCAGCAACAATAATATCTAATCAACACCCACCATTGCCGCCACGACAAGACAACACCCAGAGGGGTGGTGCCATCTTTCTGTACAGCATGGATACAACTCTCTCCGTCCCCAACATGATTTATAATCTATTTGCACATGTGCCCTACTGTCTGTGTGTCGCAGAAACTAGTTTTGTGTTACCCTGCGTGGTGTCTAGACTTCAGCGCACAATAAAAGGGGGGAAAATGCCTTGGTCGGCCAGACAAGCGAGGGGAGTAGGGTGATGTTAGTGTGTGAATGTGTTCACAGCAGACAGAAAGAGCTGCAGACATTTTGGTAGTTATTTGTCTGCAAGTGAGGGGGAAGGAAATGGAAGAGGTGATGGGCATTGGGAAGACAGGCTAGATGTGTTCAGACTTTAGTAGACAAGCTAGATGGAATTAGGAAGGGGAAAGAAGGGCCTTGATGCCTAGCTGCTGCTTGAGTTCAGAGCTCAGGAAGGGGATTGATGCACAAAGCTCAAGGATGCAAATGTGCATGCCTCATGAACCAGTGCTCCCACATGGTGTGAAGGGTCCATGGAGGAAGTCCTGCTGTACTGAGGGGACCAGTTGTGGAACATGGCCTTGAGTGGGCATTGTAGAGTCTCCTGTGTGTTGTTGCAGAAGGGACAGAAGAGGGAAGTTGTTGGTGTGGAGGACTGACTCCAGGTGAGGAGAGTGGGAGGTGATGTGTGTCAAGATACTCAAGAACTGGAAGTGCAGTGTCTTGCACAGATGGCTGAGATTGCAGAAGGTGTAGGTCTTGGTGTAGGTGGACTGGCTGCCTTGAGGGTACTTGTCCATGCAGCAAATGATGTTGAGATGGGTTGAGTACTGGAAGTGTTGTATGATGAAGGGGTGGGAGTGGACATAGTTGATGGTGTCTGCCAGTGGCCAGACTGTGGCAGCATGTCCTTGCATCTTGAAGGTCCACAAGCCAGGGACCTTGGCAATCTCTGCATGCCAGAACATGTGAACTGAATTGACTGACAGTAGGAGATGTGGATTTGGTGAGCCTGATAAGTGTGTCCTGATTGGGTCAGTCCCACTGTGGAAGGTCTTTGTGTCACTGTTCATTGACAACCTTTCAAAGTGCTGTCACATGACATTGAGACGCTGTCACCATTCTTGCAGCCAGCCAAGACAAACTAAGATCCCCACTGGACACCAGGCCAGCTTCAGCATCATAAATGTTCAAGCTCTGCCAATGGACTGGATGTACCATTGTGTCATTCATCTGGACAGCAAGGAAAAGATGGCCATTGCCTGGCTTGACCAAGAGGGCATATGGTATCACAAGCAGGACCCAAGGACTGACCCAGCAGAGGACAACTACACAATCACATTGTGATGAGGGAAGTTGACCTGGTCAGATCCCAGCCAGGAAGCTGAGCCTGAAACAGGTTGATGTCAGTGCAGAGACAGTAAATCTTGTAGTCACAGTGACACCTTTGCAGGGTGTACATTGTCCACCCTCAGTGAAGGTCATAGAAGTCCACAAAGCAGCCAACCCTGATATCAAGAGGTGTGCTGGAGTAGGTTGGCTTGATGCCATAAGGATCAAGGTCCCAATGTGGTGATGGACTGCTTTGTTGGCTGCATCCAGGTTCATGGAAGTGGTGTCCAGAAGCTCCTGTTGCACTGCCAGCTTCACCAAGAGCTCATCTTGCTCTTGGCACAGTGTGCTGATCACTAACTCAGGGGGCTTGTGCACCAGAGCAGGTGTGACTTGTGAAGAAGGGGTGTAGATGGTGTAATCTATAAGCCATCAAGGCTGCCAGTGCCAAGTGTGCAGGCAAAGACAGGACTCTGATGCAGGTGCTTGTTCTTGCTGGTCCTCTATGTGTTACCCTCTACTCCTTCCTTCTTCAAACAATGTCTAGGGCACACCAGTCCACAGTACATGCACGCTCATTGGAGTCCTCACATCCAAAGTACCTGTTCACTCATTGGAGTTGTCATGGTTAGGGTTTCATGTCTGGACCAAAAAAAGGAGAAAATTGGTTTATTTTTGTAAAGGAGGTGCTTGAACACCCTTCATAAGCTCCCACTTTCCTCATTGACCAGCCACACAGAGGACCAGGCTGTGCTTGTAGTTGTCACTGGCATGGGTTGTTCACCTGCTTGCAATCTTGCTTCATTATGGTGTGCATGGTGCACAAACACCTGTGCAAATTCCAGCCCTTTCTGTTCACTTGGGGAGGGCTCTGGAGAAGGGAGGGTGGGTAAGTGAGGGTCGAGGGGGGGAGGGTTGTGGTATGGCATGCTGTAGATGTCACCGTAGAGAAGGCCAGAGGACATTGATAAAGGGGGCTTTCTTTGCCCATTGGCCAGGGACAAGATGGAAGTGTTGTAGTTGGGGGATCATGAGTCAACATAGATGCCTGGGGGTACAAAGGTTGGTCAACTTGATCCCCTGCATACCAAACATGGACTCTTCACTTAGTTGCTGTCAAATACAGGAAAGCCCTGATGGGTGAGTTTGGGTGCAAGCCTTCAATGTCATCCTGTGAGAATGGAGTGTTTGGCATGGAGCCCAGGGCCGCCTGCTGACTCTGTTCTGCTGGCTCATATAACACTCCATGCTCCTTCTCAGGATGGACCTGCAATGCCAGATTTTGCACCACACACTATGGGCAGAGCATCTATTCAAGCTCTAGCACACCAGAGCGCACCAATTTGTTCATGAGTCAGCAAATTGCTCTGCACAGTCAACTTGAGCCAAGTCCAGAGGCCATTGGTGATGATGCCAGCATCAGTGGCTTGGTAGTGCACTGTCCACTGAGTTCAGCTCATGATTGAAGTAGTGACTCTGGCTGCACATTGCTGTAGTTGGTTCTTCACTTTTCAAGCACTTGCACCATGTCAATGAGGATGTCTGCAAAGGTGCAGTTCATGACAGCTGGGTTGAGCAAGCATGTCCATGGGACGGCCTCCACTTTCCACATCAGGTCTTTCAGCTCTGGCCTGATCATGCCCTTCTTGAATGTTGGCTAGGCATGTTCACCAACAGATGGTCACTTTCCTCCTGCAGTTGTCCAACCTGCATACAAGCACATGTGCATTATCATTGTGTTCTTCTCTCATGAGTGGGTGTGTGACAGGAACAAACAAACACTGCACCTTCAACATGGATGCTTTCTCCTTGCTGAGTCCTTGAGCCAGTGGTTTGGTCTTGACTTTGGGTGGTTGCTTTCCACCCAGGTGTGACAACAACACATCTACATTGACATTGCTGGCCTGTCAGCAAGTCAAGTGATGTCCTCCTTAGGGGGGGTAGGGAGTCCCACCCATGGCCATGGGTGGGTAGGGGAAGGACAAGAAAGAGGGAACCATTTTTGTGCCCACCCCATGACTCAACTCAAGCTCATGCCACACATCCTACTAGACAACTGAAATTTCAGTTCTTGTGGGTAGCAGAGTTTCTGTCCACCAGAACCCTACAAAAGGCCAGCAAGACAGTCTAGGCTCATCTTCTGCAGACCCCCCCCCCTGTGCCACAGCCCCAGACAAGGGAGCACAGGTACATGATTTCTGCAGTCTTGGTTAGAATCACTTTATTAAAGATCTTTGAGATTCTTGTGTCACTATTTTCCATTTAGTCTAGTGTTTTTATGGTCACTGCTGGCTAAAAACTAGGTTTTGTAACACACACAGACAGTAGGGATGAACAAACAAATACACAAACAAACAGAATCCCATGTCCACAGAACCTCTAAGTTGGACTTGACTCTGAACTTGAGGAGACCTCATGGAAGCTCATACTGCCTTGACTGCATCTTCCCAGCCCACCTGTGACCTGATGATTTTTAATGCCCTTACAGCCCACCCCATCACTAACCCTCTCCTTGACAGTCCTCTTCCACCTGGTTAAAGTTGTTCACTCTCATTCCATCAGCTGGATACAGCTCTTGCCAGTAGCCCCACCCAACTGGGCAGGGAGGCCACCAGGGGGGGGTCCCACCATGACCATAGACACTCACAGCCCCACCACAACAGACACAGCCAAGGCCTTCACTCACACCACACCTTCTGCACACCCCATGACCACCACACCCAGCTTCACTCACATCACACCCTCTACACACCCCATAACCACCACATCCAGCCCAACTCATGCCATGACCTCTGCATGCCTTGCAACCACCACATCAGGTCCCAATCACACTGCACCCCCTGCACATCCACACTCCACTCACACTACACCCATTACACAGCCAGCAGCTGCTGTCATTTCAGGCACCACTCATCCTGCAATACATTGATCCTGAACAAGCTTGGACTACACCCTCACAACAATCAGGATTGAGGGGCGTATTGGACAAGATGGGTCCACTGACTGGGTCTACTTTCACACATCAAATACATCTTTCCACTCCTGCTTTATTTCAATGCAAGGGTACAATGTCTCCTTGCACCATTCCCAAGGAGAACTGGTTTGTTGGACTCACAACGTTGCCAGGCATGTGCATTTGGGGGGGGGGGGGCACTGCCATCAGCGGCTGCAGGGTGGTGGATGTTGATTGATAAATATATTTTCACAAATGCACAAACAAACAGGAGTGACGTTGGATCTTTACACTCGATCAACCAGAAGGGACGAACCCCCCGTGACGAGACAGTCAGCGTAAGTAACGAAGCTCGTCTAGTAGCGCAGGGTGTGGGTGCGGTAGGGCAGTCCGGAGAAGGACATCATCGAGATCTCGTAGTCGGCGGCCATCCTTCGCGACCTGGTTGTTTGATGGTTCCGGTTAAAGCACCCACCACATTGCAATGTGAGAGAACCAAGTGAGTGGACGAATGAGAAGGAGGGGAAGAGGCGTGCGATGCCGAAAAAGAGAGGGGGGGGGAAGAGAGAGAGGAAGGCGGCGCCGCACCTCTGCAGGGCGCCTTCTTTGTACTCCACGAGCAGGCGGTCCCCGCCGGTGTAGTGGGTGTCGGTGACCAGCACGCCATCGCTGCCGTGCCGCTTGTCTATGTTGCACACCCCCATTCACCACCGCCATCAGGTCAGGCCAGGCCAGGCCAGGCCAAGCACGATGGTGGTGGGGTGGAAGGGCAGGAGACAAGCACCGTTGCGGTAGTGGCCGTAGTAGCGCTGGCCGTCGTCCCAGTGGATGTAAACGCCCCACCCGTTGCGCTTGTCGTCTTGCCAGTGGCCGTCGAAGACGTCTCCGACGGCGAACACCATGCGTCCGTTGCCGCAGCGCTTGTCGTCGCGCCACTGGCCGTCGTACCGCCTCCCGTCCGTCCAGCGCAGTGCCCCGGCCCCGTGCCGCTTCCCGCCTTGCCAGTGGCCCTGGTACCTGGTGCCGTCGGCCTCGACGTAGGAGCCGGGGCCGTCGGCCTTGTTCTCGCGCCACGAGCCCTCGTACGTGTCCCCGTCAGCGTAGACCATGAAGCCCTTGCCCCACCGCATGCCGTCCTGCACCCCCACATATGGAGTATAAATGTAGATGAGCGGTTTCCAATCGATGAGAATTAATTCGCTGTGTGACGTGGCACCTTAAGCTGTCCGACGTAGCGCCGTCCGTCGGCCCACGAGTAGACGCCGTGTCCGTTGAACTTGTTGTTGTCCCACTGGCCCTCGTAGAGGGCGCCGCAGGGCCACGTCATCTTGCCCAGCCCGCAGCGGAAGTTGGCCCTCCACGCGCCCCGGTACACGCGCCCGTCGGCCCACGTGCACTGGCCGTGGCCCTCCCGCTTGTCGTTGGCCCACTCGCCCACGTAGCTGTCCCCCTCGGCATAGGACATCGTGCCATGGCCCCACCGCAGCCCCTCCCGCCACTCGCCCGTGTACTCCCTGTGTCGTGCGTGCGTGCGTGCGTGCGTGAGAGAGAGAGAGAGAGAGAGAGAGAGAAGAGAGAAAAGATGAGGAGTGGCTAGTCGGGTACCGAGCGTCGTCGCCCCACACGTAGGTGCCGTAGCCGGACAGGTTGTCGTTGGCCCAGTGGCCCTCGTAGCGGTCGCCCGACTTGGCCCAGTACATGCAGCCGTAGCCCTCCCGGTTCCCGTCCTTCCACTCCCCGACGTACACGCTACTCGCCAACACGCCACGTCATGCCACGTCACGTGCGTTAGGGCTCGACCACAATGACCACCAACCGGAAGGCAGCGAGGCGTGGTGGGTCACGTGGTGGGTGGGTGCAGGTGTGTTGTGTGTGTGTTGTGTGTGTCGATGCGTACCTGCCGGAGGGCCAGGTGTAGGAGCCGTGGCCGGTGCGTGCGCCCTTGGTCCAGGTGCCCTCGTACTTGCGCCCGTCGGCCCACCAGAAAGTGCCCAGGCCGTCCACGAGGCCGTCGATCCACTGGCCCTCGTACACGGTCCCGTCGGGCCACTCGCATCGACCGGTGCCCGTGCGCACCCCCTCCACGAACTCGCCCTCGTAGCGGCGCCCGTCGGCCCATCGGTAGACCCCGCGCCCCGTGCGCTTGTCCTCCTCCCAGTCCCCCTCGTACGAGTCTCCGCTGCGCAGCCGATACACGACGCACGCACGCACGCACAGGACCACAATAGGAAAACCCCGTCAGCAGCCGCACACGCGGTGGTGGCTGGTGGTGTTCCACGGAAAGCGCCGTCGCATGGGACTACGACGACCAGGAGGCCTAGAGGAGGTGGAGGTGGAGGAGGTGGTGGAGGTACCTGGGCCACACGATCTTGCCGCGGCCGTGCTGGCGGTTGTTGCGCCAGGTGCCCTCGCACACGGTGCCGTCGGCGTAGCGCATGACACCCGGCCCCTCCATCTTGTCGTCCCGCCACTCGCCTGAGTAGGCCACCCCATTGCGCCACGCGTAGGCGCCCCGCCCCTGCCGCTTGCCCTCCTTTGTACGCTCTCCTGCGACCGAAAGAACACACGACACACACACGACACACGACACGAAGAGAGGCAGGGGGGCACGGCGACCACACCGAGCACGTCAGCATCATCACTGTCTGCTGTGTCCGACTCAAAAAAAATTCCCATAAACCCATAAATAAAATAATAGAAAATATATTGCATAAAATACCACAAGGTGGGTGGGGGGCATTGGGCGGCAAATGGGAGAGGGGCGGTGGGGGGATAAGGTGGTGGGGTACCTTCGTAGAGAGAGCCGGGGGCGGACGGGTCGAGAGGGGCGTGGTGGTCTCCGCCGGCGCCTGCAGCAGCGGCGGGGGCAGAGGAGGCGTCGGGCTTGGCGGTGGCCCCTACCTCGTCGGCGGCACCCGGGGCGAGGCACGCGTCGAAGCGCATGGGCCCCATCATGCCGGGTGCCACGGCAGCAAGGCTTCCACGTCTGCTCATGAGGTTTGCAGGCGCTGTGTTGGTGTGTGTAAACAATGGGTCCTCTTCTTTCCTCTTCTTCTTTGACGTGGGCAAGCGGTGGTGGACTCGTGTGTTGCTGCTGCTGTGCTCTTGCTCCAAGGGCGTTGGACTGTAGGACAGGCCTGACGACCAAGGCGCTGGTCACTTGTTACTCCGGACCTCCGCAAAGAATGTCAGGAAGGCAACTCGCATACCACACATGCCGTTCCTTGACACGAGTTTTCGACCGAGTGCCCAGCGTCGCCAGAAGCGCAGCAATGATGATGGCGAGTACCAGCAGCAGCAGCAGCACGGCATACCACCAGGCTGCTGCCGCCGCTGATGGGGCGAGTAGTAGGCGGCGTCGTTCAGGGCGCGCCGGCGGCCATTGGTACGGAGAGGCCTCATGGGACAGCCTTGTGGGGCGCTCTCCCGTGGACGCCTGGCACGGCGACCCCAAGCGCAACGAGGACGCCCTCTCCATTGAGCCCCACCACGCCCTCTTCGGCATTTACGACGGTAAGCTGAAGTGCTGAAGTATGGGAAGTAGTAGTACCGCTAATATCACCCTTCCACCTTCCACCCCCACGACCTACGCACCTGTATCCCCCCTTTTCTGCCCCCACCCCACACACCCTTCTATTCGTTTGGAGGGACTTCTCTGCTTCCTCTCTCTTCTCTCTCTTTCTCTCTTCCTCGTGGTGACACCCCCGCAGGGAACGGGAAGACGAAGCGGCTCGTGCTCGAGATGCTGGGCATCGAGGAAAGCGACTGGGAGTGGGCGGCAAGCAAGCTGGGCGCCGACTACCACCTGCCCTCCCAGCTCGACCCCGACGAAGCCGCCGCCTTCGTGGCCCGCACCCTGCCGCCTCTCCTCGTCGACCTCCCGCCCGTACCGGCATCCCACCACGGCCACGGCCATCCCCTCCTCCTCGTCGTCGTCCTCCTCGTCGTCGCCTTTCTCATCTCTTCTCTCTTTGTGTGTGTCGGCAGGAAGAGGCAGGAGGAGGAGTAGGGGCTGCCGGTAAAGCCCGGTGGGCGGGGGCATTGCGGGAGCGGGTCTGTCGCGTGCACGCACAGATGCGCGGGCAGTGCATCATGGGCAGCGCCTCCACCGCGGTGTTGGCCAGACTGATCCCCTCCACGCTGCCGTTGGCCATGCCCACCCTGCTGGTCGTCAACGTGGGCGGTATGTACTACTACTACGATTGCCTGCCTTCACGGCCACACCTGCTGCGTGTGCGCCCGTGGCTCGCCTTGATCCTCCCCCCCCCAAACATCATCATGCATCATGTGCTGCTTGTGGGTGTGCGCGGCAACAGATTCGAGGGCCGTGCTGGGACGGAGCGGGCAGGCCGTGCAGGTCTCGCGAGACCACAACGCAGGTTGACCTGGAGCGCGCGATCTCTCCCCCCCCCCTCTTCCCAAACCTATCTCTATCCACCAGCAGCGCACCACCACCAGCCACCACCGACGAGGAGATGGGAGGAGGGAGGGAGGGAGGGGCGCGTGGGTAAGATGGGAAGAAGGAAGCTGACGAGCAGGCGCGTGCGTGCCAGACAAGAATCTGGGGGCGGCTGACTTCGATGCCGAGGAGGTGCACATCCACGACGGACGACTTCGGGTGGACGACGAGTTTCTCGTCCTCATGTACACCACGCTCCCTCCTCTCTCGCTCGCTGTGGTCGGGTGGGGTCGGGTGGTGGTGGCTGTGCATCTCTCATCATGACGGGCATGCTGGAGTGCAGGTCGGACGGGGTCTACAACGCGTTCAAGGAGGGCAACGACGGGGTGGTGCGGTACGTGCGAGAGCGCCTCGCCGCGCGAGAGGGCAGCGCCAGTGTGGCCGCCCAGCTCGTGCGACACGCGCGACAGCTCGAAGACGCGGTGGCCAGGCCCGAGAGGTGCCACTCGCCACCCACTCACGCACTGCTACTACCCACTCGGCTGGCGTGTGGTGCTGGAGCGGACGACTGACGGAAGATGAGCGGTGGGGGGCGGTGTTGGTTCGATGGTGTCCTGCAGCAAGATCGACGACATGAGTGCGGTGGTGGTCGTGCTCAAGCCCACGAGCGAGGCTGGCCCGCTGGTGGGGTGGGACGAGGAGCAGACGTGGGGCCTGTCGGACGTGGTCCACCCTGGCAGCAGCAGCAGCAGCAGTAGGTCGCGCACCACTACGCGGCTTGTCCGCCTCCTCACCTCCATCCCGCGTTGGCAGGCACCCTCTCCCGCTCACCCTCGCCACCCGCCTTGACCCTCACCCCCCCCCTTTCCCCACTCTGCAGTGCGCCCTCGTCGTCGCCGTTCTCGTGTGTGTCGCCCTCGCCATAGGCCTCCTCGTCTCCTTACCGGCGTGAGCTGCTTTCCTCGGCCCGGAAGGCCATATAGCCTTGGCCTCCACGCAGGCGCTGCACACATAGTGTAGATATTTTCAAAGATAGCGGGGATGGGCTGGGGATGCGAGCTACAACTGCAGGGGAGGGAGCAGTGTGAGAGACCGAGCGGACGTGGCAACAGACAGAGAGGGGGAGAAAGAGGCGGAAACAGTCTCAATCGTATTTGACGAAGGGATTCCACACGCCCTGCACGCTGCGTCTCTGCGAGACGATCTGGCCCGCGCCGAGGCGCCGCGACTTGAGGCCCCACTGGTTGCGGAGGTGGTAAATGTAGTGCTCCACCTCGTCGGCCTCCAGCCCGCCCACGCCCACCGACTTCTCACGCCCGATCACTGCACCGCCACCCACACACACGGCACCAATGAGCGCCCAAGCAAGCAAGCAGCATAGGCCCGGGGTGTGGGCTTGTTGGGGGGGGGGTTACGGTATTCGCCGGAGAGGTGAGGATGGCGATTACGACGCTTCACCACGTCCACCAAGACTTGCGGGTTCTTTTTCTGGAATTCGGGCAGGCGCGTTTCCAAAAACTCCCTGCATTGTGCCAGGATGAGCAAGATTAATTTTGCTGCCGGATTGGGGAGGAGGAAAACGCTGATACCGCATGCCGCGGCTGCTGCCTCCGAAGTCGCAGTACTGAAGCTTGAGCTTCCTCAATTGCCAGATGCCCGACCTCGACATCTTCCGCTCGTGTGTGCTTTTGGTGGTGATGGAAAAAGGAAGAAGGAAAAGCAAAAAAAAAAAAAAAGGGTGAAGTGCGCCAGGTGGAGGTCGGTCTGCACAACCTGCAGGAGAGGCTCACGGCTGTGCAAGCCACGCTTGACGCAACGCAACGCAGTCTTGCCCTATTTCTTGACACCCAAGAGGCGCTCAATCTCGTACGCAGCTTTCGCTCATGCCCGTACGCCCCTCGCGGCACCCACCTGACTCGCACCGCGCGTGTGTGCTGCCGTATCGTCTAGGGGCTCCGGCCGTTTCGTGCCGTGTTTGACCTGGGCGCAGGCATCGCCTGCCCGTTCGTCATTCCCGCCCAGCGACTGACCAGTCATGCCCCACCCACACAAAAAACCACCACCCCACCGGTAAGAGCGAACGAAAAAAATTGGCGCGAAAGCTTGTTGTGTCCGGCATTTTGCTCTTCCAACACCGCAGCAGCGAAGCGGCTTGTGCGCAGCGAGTAGAAGCACCTCTGAACATGATGGCGATGATGCTCGAAGTAAGCCTCGCGGCGAGCTGGTCTACTGCACTTCTTGTCCTGCTTGCTTGCTCTGCGCTTCGCTGGCTATACCAGAGATGGCAACAGCAGAAAGCTCTAGCGCGTGCGGTCAGCCTTGGCGTGGCTTCAACGCCCCAGACGAAGCCACCCGTCCTTGAGGCGCCGCGAGCGCCAGCAAGTAGCATCTGCCCAGGTGGTGTATGCAAGGTCCCCAAGCAGAGAACGACAGAGGACCTGGTAACATCAGCCCTGGCCCTTCTCCAAAGCCAGAAGCAACGCACTGTAATACCGCCCTCCTTCCCGCTGCGCTCTGCTTGCTCGTGCTCATGGCCTTTCCTCAAGGTCGTCTGGATTGCAGCGGGCTCGTCCCCTCCTGCGCCCGAGCCGTTCCTACCGTGTGCCCTCGTGCGGTACGTGTGTTGTTTGCTGGGGCTGTCTGCACCCGCCACGTCAGGCGTTCTCACCCAACGCCAACAGAGAACGTCTGGCCGCTTGTGCTGAGGAAGGCAGCATTGCCACCACAACGTGGCGAGAGGTAGAGCTCGCGGTAAAGGCGAACCCACAAGTTCGGAGCTTCAGGTTCGGCAAGACAGAGGTGTGGGAATGGAGGCAAATGCTTGGTGTACGTTCTGCCCCGTTGATAGCACCCGGGTTGTGGGGCAAATACTCAACACGCCTTCCGTCCTCCTGTTGTGCAGGCTTGAGGTTGCAACCAACCCCTGACGTGCACAGAACAAGGAAACCAAATAAATGTATAAAGTAATAATATTTTTCCACAAGTAAATGGATACCAAGCGGGAGATGGCGGAGGGCTCGGTGTCCCCTGCCCTACGCGCCCTCGAGTTTTACAGGTACGCTGTTCCTTACGTGAAGGTTGTTGTTGTTTTCGTCGATGAAACGCTGACGGCGAGGGGACTTCCAAGCGGGGTGGGGGGCATGCATTGGGCGGTGGGGCGAGCAGGGCTGGAGCAGAGGGTGAAGGTGGTGGGGGCGTACGACCTCAACGACGGCGCCAACAGAACCTATCGACACAACTTTCCGGACACTCCCGTTCGCGCTGTACGGACTGTGCATGTCCCTCCCCGCTGCTTGCACCTCTTCGTGTGCACTCATGCGTCGGTGGGATGCTCGGCTTCTTCTATGCAGAGGGACCTGGCCTCGCTGGACGTGCACGAAGTGGAGGCGCATGCCGCCGACATCTGGCTCATGAGCCCGCCTTGTCAGGTTCAGCCACGCGCTCATGCGGGGCGGGTGGGGTCATGGAGGGACACGTGGGGGGTGCTGACCGCCAGCATGGCTGTCGGGGCAAGGTAGCCGTATTCGCGTAACGGGAAGCAGGCGGGAGCCGACGACCCCAGAGCCAGGAGCTTCGCCCACCTGCTGGGACTTCTGGCGCGGCTCGACCGACCACCGTCCTACCTGCTCCTGGAGAACGTGTACGGCTTTGAGGTGCCCCTGCCCCCCGCCCCTCCACTCCCTGGCGACCTTCCTGTGCACTGACACGACACGCCACACACGCACGGCACGCACGGCACACACCTCACCTGCCCACCAGCGGTCGGAGAGCCGGACCCAGCTCGTGGCCGCGCTGGCGCAGGGCGGGTACCGCCATCAGGAGTTCCTGCTCTCCCCCACCCAGTTCGGCATCCCCAACCAGGCACGCCGTGCACCACCACCACCACCACCACTGTGCACCACCACCGTGCACCACCACCGTGCGCCACCCGGAGCGTTGGTGCTTGCTGACTCGTACGTACGGTGCAATTGCGCAGAGGTTGCGCTACTTCCTGCTGGCCAAGCGTGCGCCACACTCCTTTGCATGGGCACCACTCGCGGTGGCAAGCTCCTCGACCATCGACCCGCTCCGGTTTGTGCCCGCCTGCGCGGAGCAGGCCGCCACGGCAGCGGACCCCGCCCAGCCAGAGCCGGCAGCCGTGGCTCCGCTGTCCGACTTCCTGGAGCCCGACGACTCTCTAAGCGTCCACGCCCATCGCGTTCCCGATGCCCTCGTCTGGAAGAAGGGCCTCCTCTTTGGTGCCGTGCCCTCCCCCCCCCGCTCACGGCCTCGTGGCGCTTGAGTGTCACTGACTCAGCTCCTGGTCGCTCCTGCCAGACATCGTGGGGAAGGAGGACATGCGCTCCTGCTGCTTCACCAAGGCCTACGCGCGCTTTGTGGAAGGCGCCGGGAGTGTCCTTCGCACGGGGCCTCCCCTCGTCGATGTGCGTCCAGCCTCTCACGCTGCGGCGGCGGCGGCAGGTGTCGTGCGTGCGCCACTGATCATCTAGGGGCGGGGCGGGGTGGGCCGTGGTGGTGCATAGGGCTGGGCGGATGGAGCGACGGAGGACGACATCGGCGGGGCCTTGCTTGCCCTGGGCTTGCGGTTCGCTTTCCTCGTCCATCCCCCCCCCCAACCGCTCGCCAACGTGGAGGGAGGCCGACGTAACTGACGGGACCCGCGTGTGTGTGTCGTGTGGCGCCGCAGGTACTTCACCCCGCGGGAGGTGGCGCGGCTGCACGGGTTCCCGGACAGCTTTGGGTTCCCCGAAGGCACGGGCGAGCGGCAGAAGTACCAGCAGCTGGGCAACAGCCTCAACGTGCTCGTCGTCGCCCGACTCCTCCGCTATCTCCTCCTTGTAGGCCCCTCCACCAGGTCCCACGCCGCATAGAAGGCCTTACATTCGTCACGTTACATTTTTGTGTTTATCACACAAGCACGCACACGCACACACACACACACACATACGCCACTTTGACAAACAGCACACGTCTCGCAGGCGAGACGACCCGTTCCCTCGGCGCTGCCTCTATTCACATTATTTGCGCTGGAGCGAAGAAGGTGCGGTCTAGCGCTTAGGCCGCTTCCTCCTCCATCCCGCTGTCGTCGCCGTCGCCCTCGTCGTCATCCTCGTTGGAGTTGTTGGCATTGCCTAGGTCTTCATCTTCGCTGCCTTCCCACTCTTCTTCGATGCCCTCATTGCCGTCGTCGTCCAATTGCCCCTCGCTATCGTCGTCGTCGTCGCTGTTGCTGCTGCTGCTGCTGTCGTCGTCGTCACTCGAGGGGGAAGCGAGGTCGGCCTTGAGGCACAGATAGCGCTGGCCGGGGTGGGCCAGGTAGGGATCCACCACCTCGTCAAAGGGCGACGGCCCGTTCAGCTTCACCTTGAGCCGAAGTCGATGGCACTCGCCCACCCTGAATTCCTCCAGCCCGCCGCTGAACTGCCAATAGACCACGCCCGCCCCATCGGCGGCGTGAGACCACGCGTGTGGAGGCGTGCAGCAGGATTTAAGAAAGGATGGAGAGATAGATAGAGAGGGGGAGAGATGCCTCCTAACCACTCACTACTCCTGTCCTGGGGCAGCAGCCGGCATAGGAGAGGGTGGGTGGGTGGGAGGGGGGGCACCTGGTGGTAGTCGGGCCGCGGCAGCTCGGGCGTGCCGTGCACCACCCACAACACGGGTCCTCCCAGGTAGGTGGCTTCCTGCGCCTCCTCCTCCCGCAGCTCCTCCTGCCGGTGCTGCCCCGGCGGCTGCTGCTGCTGCTGCTGGAGGTGGTGGTGGTGGTGGTGCCGCAACGTGAGGGCGTGTCGCCCATTGCTTGCGTCGTCCTTGGACGGAGTGGCCGCAGATGGCGAGGAGGAGGAGGGCACCGGAGGAGACACATAGGAAGGGAGCGACGACGACGAGGAGGAGGAAGAGAGGGAGAAGGCCTTGATGGGCAGGTGCCCTGCCACGAGGCGCACGGGCCGATAGGGCATGACGAGGCCGTAGTGCAGCTCGCCCGAGGGTGGGCAGGTGCCGCACTCGAGGAGACGGCCCACCACCACCAGCCCCTCCGTGTGGTGGCCTCCATCGCCTCCTTTGCCGCCGCCGCCACCATCGCGGGCAGGCACGCGGGCACCGAATTCCTTGCCCATCGCGCCAGAGAGAGCCCCAAACGCGTTACAACTTCTTGGAAAGGAGGAGGTGGAACAAGACCTTCTTTTCTTCATCTCCTCGTTTCCCTTTTCCCCACCATTTCTTTCTAGCCAGCAACGCTTTTCCATGGTGTTTCTTTTTAACCGATGGCGGGACAAAAAGAAAACACAAAACACAGAAGAACCGAGAACCGCGCGCACCACCTCCGAGGATTTGTTGTTCAAATGTGGCGTGCCGGAGGACAGGGTCCTAGGCTGGCCTGCCGTTCCCACCACGGCGGCGGCGGCGGCGGCGCGCGGCTGATGTGTGGCGATGTGCTGCCAGCAGAACACAGGAGGCGCGGCAGTGGCGGGGCACTGCTCCGATTCGCCGCGACGAGCACGAGAACCACCCCGGCCACGGCCACGGCCACGTTGAGGAGAGGTCAGTGGGCCGCCTCTTTGGTGGTGCGCCGCGCCATCACGGGGCGGCCGGGAGCGGCGGGCGTGCTGGCAGAGGACATGGAGGGCGCGATGGGGGCCGTCGGGCGCCTGCTCGCCTCGCCGCACGCCCGCGACCAGGAGGCGGGCCGCACCCTCGCGACGGACCTCCTCGCCCGGCAGCCCCTCCCGCCTG